CTTTTGAGACAGCTATAGAAATTCCAGTGTAGAAACTGAAGACTTCAGTCCAGAAATCATTTTCGTAATGGGGCTTGAATTCAATTTTAACCAGTGGTGAGAGGCACAGTTGGTGAGCAAGCCTAGCGGGAACATAAATGCACATCTGACAGGCCTACAAAGAGAACTTGAGCTTCGGAGACCCCGTCACTGTCTCCTCTCTTGCAGTAACGACACCACACCCTTTAGAATAGCACCTGGGAGATTTCGTATTGTGTCTTCACGACAGCAGCATCACTGCCCTGGATGGCCTTTCTAAAGGGGCACTTCCAGCTTGGATTTTGACTTAAATCTTTATTCTTTGAAATGTTGAAAACACCAGGTAAATTGTGTTGATTTCCTTTTTTTGTAGGCAGCATTATGCTCACCAGGATGAAACCACTGGAGAAGCACAGCGAGTTAGTCTGAGGATGTTGCAGTGCGCTCAGCTCACCACAGATTAAAACTAAATTTCACTTGCCGCCATAGGTAACATATATCTGCCCAACTTTTGGATGAGTATTATTTGATTTTTTTTAATTACATGAAAAAATACCAACGAAGGTTACCAAAAAAAAAGGACTTCAAATAAAATGCTTCACATTCATTTTTAAACTAAAAATAACTCTTGAAACTACATTCTGGATAAGTAGAGAATAAGCTAAATAGGAAACCTGGCGGCAGCCTGGGGTTTGCTATTATAATTACTACAAAGAGACAATCCTTCTATCAAAATCAGGGACAGGTTTTCCAGGGTCAGTGAAGGCTTTACTTCAGCATTTTCTAACTCAGAGTGACTTCTCTACCCCCAAGGGGTCTGGCCCCACGGTGGCATCCGGGGGAAAGGCTCTGGGAAGGATGCACACCACAAAGGGCACTCTGGCCACTATAGCAAACTAAGGACTACCAACTCCCACCAGACTGGCAAGTGCTGGGCCACCCACAAAATGAATGCTCCAAGCTCCCGAGTCAGGCCTCAAATCAGAAAGGCCCCCTTATGTCAACAGGAGGTTGATATCAGTAGTTGTCAACCTTTTTTTTTTCTTTCCTCTCCAATGTAACAGAGGAATCTGAGTCACTCCTGAGTACTCTGTATGGCAGTGGTTCTCACCATGGTTCTCGGCAAACAGAGGGCAAATCACAGTGGTTCTCAGTTCTGACAGCAAATTAGAAACACATAGGAGCTTTAAAATATACGTCAATTCCTGGGACCCACCCCACACTAATTAGATCAAAAGCTTAGGAGGAGGACCCAGGCACTTTTAAAAGTTCCCTAGATGCTTCTAGTGAATGTCAGGTATCAGAATCTCAGACAAGTCACTCAGAAGAGGCTTAACAGAATGTGGGGAGAGCACATGCGACATCTGAAAAAGCCTCCCAAGGCTGCTATGGATCTCCCCTCTCCCCAAAACTGGGAAACACCAGTTTTAAATGAATGTGGGATGGATCTAGAACCTAATCCGCTGTACAACACTGCCATAAATCCCACGAGCTTAGTCTTATTGTGTGACCAGTGGCTGGGAAGCTCCGAAGTTTTCCAAAACAGCTCTAAGTCTCTACAAAAGCATTTTAAAATTGTTAGCACTATTAGAAGCCACATTCTCTCCTTGTGACCACGATAGAACCCTAGAAGATATAAAAAATTAAAATCTATAGAAAATGGCAGGTTAGTTTTAGAACAAAATACTTTACCAAAGTCTTTAGGCTAAATACAGTATATAAACCAGCATGTGTTCAACACATCCAATTCCTCTTCTGCTTGCACAATACTTATTTTACACACAATCTGGCCAATGATCAAAAAAAATCAGCCAACAGAAATATATGCTAAGCAAAACAAGAAACCACATTCATGCTCTTCTATACTGATGATTAAGCCACATTTGAAAAATTACAAATTCAAAAATAGAGCTCCATCATCTAAGAGTTGCCTTTTTTTTTTTTTAAACTTACATTTAGTGTAGTCTCTATTTTTCATCAGTTGCTTGCATAGGTAGTAACAGCATGCTTTCTGGGTTAGATGGAGGCCATGCAAAACTGTTTGCATTACTTGGGGAAAAAAATGATCAGTCACGCTCAAAATGCAGCTGCAAAACATTTTGTGAGCTGACCGTAAGGCAGGGTGAGACACTGAGTGTTCATTTACATAAAAGCAAAGTATTTCCCCCCAAAATATGTAGTCAGGTTTAACGATAATGTACCCTTTACGCAACTGAAGACAGCCCACGCAGTAACAGCTACTTTTTGTGTTTATGTTTATGACATAAAAATTGGCTGGTTTGTCAGCCAATTTTTCCCTTCTCAATTCCGAATAATAAAAGTTCAGTGTGCCTCACAGAATATGTGTTTTATTGCAACTGTGCTTATGATTTGCATACTATCTCAAAAACCCAACCCAGAAACACTAATTATCTTTGCATCCAATAATTATAATAACCCACATTGGAAACAACAACTTTAGCTGTTCAGTAATTTGTCAGAATAAAATGTAAGGTCAGATGTCAATCTACTTTTAAAAACATGTTTATTTGAAATACATGAGCTTTGTCCACAGCTCTTCTCTGCTCCATTTTTCCTAGGCTGCCACTACTGTTTCCTTTACATACTGTTCTTACTTTTTTTCATGATAGTTATTTTAGAGGGATGACAATTTTTCCCCCCACTCCCCAAAAAACCCCCACATCCAACTCATACAAACGTGGATGACCAAATTCTAATGAAAAGTGACTTCGTAATGGATTTTCAACCCCTAAGCAGAAGAGACAGCTCAGTCTGAAAAAGTGGATATAAGAGTAAAACGTCTCCAAAGATGAAGAAGGGCACTTTTGGTTTCCAGAACGGAACAGACTTGCTCAAGAAAACCACAAGCCTTAGCCGATTCACCAGAATCCATGTGATCTCTTTGTTCAGGAGGACTGTCACTCCACTTAGGACATCATCAGCGTCCCCTGGTTCAGCGGCTGTGCCCCAGGGTTCCTCAGCTACAGCAAATTCCTGACGCTTTCCGCTTCCCTTTACAAGCAAAGCAGGCCCTCAATGAACGTGTGCAGAATGAATGAATGAATGATGAAAGAATGATTACACAAGTTTAGGGCAGCCTCACAGATAATACAATATTTTACCACACCACAAATACTCCCACATCCACTTCTATTGGTCCAGTGCAGTACTTACTTTCAGTTAGGCTGCTTTTAGGATGAGAAGATACTAAAAGGGGTAGGAGATGGTCTTCAGATGACATGAGTTTAACAGTTTCTTTATGCTTCCACATTATACAAGGGACTACAAAGGCAAGGGGCAGGGCTGTCTTAAGGAATGATATAGCCTCAGTGCACTGGATGTTTACAGGAAAAGAAATCCAGAGTAAAAAGTTTTTTAAAAGCAAACAAACATTACAGATGCAGCACTAGGGTTGGGGATTATTTTGTGCCTACCAGGAATGTCTGCTCTAATTGGGCCCACCTGGCTGTCAAACAGAAACTCAGGCCTACTATCCTTAGCAGATGATTCTTAACCCAAAACACATATATGTTTATTGTGCCGAACATCACCAGGAAAATAAAAAACAAAACACACACCATGCCCCAAACCCTACCAAAGAGCTGAACTGAACCAAGTAATGATTTTCCCATAAGGTACTTCAGTGCTTGAAGAGCACTTCCAAATTTTTGGGCAAGTTCTCCTTTTCTGTGGCTTAAAAGATGCACCTCAGAGTTAGGGATGAAATTCTCGTTGTTGATCAACCACAGAAATCTAATAGCCTAAAGATGTCTAGACAATGCCATAATACTTCCTGATTTTCCACTTAAATCTGAAACAAGGACTAAACTCCAAAGACATACAGTTTATAGATAGTGAAATTTTATTTCTAGATCCCATGGAAAACTAAAGGAGTTTGTAGAGTTTTGTTTTGTTTTTTAAGACACTAGGTAGGATGGAGAATCCATTCCTGGAGGACTCAAGAACAAAAATATTTACCATTGTGAAAATTAAACTAGTTTCCACTACTGTTTAACTGATTACAGCCACTCAAAAAGGCATTATTAAAACCCTTTGTGCAGTCAACTATAATTCTAAGACTGTTTCAGAGCTTCAGAAAGGAGATTTCAAATGAGATTTACCTGTTAAAGACAGATGAGAAGTTCAAATCAGACACACATTCAATTCTTGATATTGACGATCCCATATTTGGTGCATCTTTTTCAGGAAATAAAAGTGATACAGGAAAACTAGCAGGGGCTAAACACTGATCGGGCTGTCAATGTGCTGCTGGAAGCAATAACAACATCAAAGGCAGCCAGTCGTCGGCAGGCACGCTACAGCAGAGGAGGGTAACGCTGCTTTGGGAAACCAGATGCCCATCAGGGGAACGAGGACACCTAGTGAAGCGATGAGTGCAGGACTGAGTGCAATGGGCAACAGGCCTGTGTTAAGCGAATTTCATGGAGCACTAGAGTAACTTTCACAAGGCTGAATATGCGTCTCATATATTGCAAGGGTCTAAAATTCCAGCTACCCTCAACATAAATGGCCTCTAGACTTGCAAGTTACCTGCTAATGCTCAAATTAGCAGCAAAATAAAGTTAAGGAACCTACTGGAAACATTTCCCAAGAGGTATTCACAGAAAAAAAAGGAAAAAAAAAAAGGCAGTGCAGAATTCATAGGTATAGGTGTATATGTGTTCTAGTTACTTCACACATGGCAATACTGAAAAGGGAGATTATAAATGGATCTGTGCACCAGGAGGTCAGGAAGAACTTGAAGACTCTATGATTTTTAAAAAAACTAATATTTAAAAGCATATAAACTTAGCATGCTATATTTCATGGCAAAGTGACAAATGCTATTCAAAGAGAATCAGGACCGTGACACTCCTGACATATAAAAAAAAATAGAAAAAAAAAATAGAAAAGGCTAAACTGCCAGGATACCTCCAAAAACCTTGAAAAACTATATATCTTGCTTATCTGTGAGATTTTCATGAGGTTCCCATTTTTCTAAACAAGAAATGCAACTTGCACCGACAATGCCCGATGGAACACACTCCAATCCTGCTTGTGAGTTCTGGGTAAGAGATTAAATCTTAAGCACAAAGAAGAAGTAAATGAGTTACTGAAAAGCAGTCATAACTAAGACGGACAGGCAGGATCAGAAGTGTACGTGTAATACTGTGTCACACATCGCTTCAACACACCAGCACTGACTTTTGGCATTAGGCAACTTCTTTCCTCTCCAAGTTGCAAGAGGAGGAAACAAGGGCATGCACACACGGGGCAGCATGGAGCTTTCAACTTCTAACACAGAGAAAAGCAACACCAGAGAAGGAAAACGGTACAGATTCATGCATCCAGTTTAGAATCCATTTTTTTCCAGGAATCTTTCAAAGGTGTTAACTGCTCTACTACATTTCAAAATCCCAATGGCCTTAGCTAGCAAATTTAGAAGGAAAAAAAAATTAACTACTAGTGACTGGCTTCCTGGCTATCCAATTTGCCACCTCTTAGGACATATCCCAAGAGTCATATGGTACATATGATGGTACATACATCTTTGCAGATATGAAGGCAGTGAAAGACTTCATTTCTAGCTCTAAAACTTCTATCTGTGGCAGTAGGAGAAATGACAGCCACCCACAGGCCACCTTCCTCTCTAATCCTTTTACTGATTCATATCCATCCTAGACTAGCTGAGTATATACCTGAGAAACATTAGTGTTAAAATATTGCCCTTTACAAAGACTGGTAGAGGGGGCCAAAGTGCAGAAAGCAACAGTTTTCTCTCAGTTTGTTTCGCTGTTAGTGTCACAGTTTTTAGAGCTCCTGGTGCCACATGACAATCCGTAGTGAGGACAAATCCTGCTCAGATGAAACCCAAGTCAAATAATTCGTCCTTCCACAGAGCACACTAATGATAGCTTAACTGGTTCACAGGTTTCAAAACCCTAGTGTCCAACGAAAGTCATTAGAGTTCTCTAGAAAGAAATATGTACAGTTGCTAAAGGGACCATCCAGGGTATCGTCTACAATTATTCCAGTTAGCTTGGTATCAATGCTTTGCCTATGGCTGTTATTTGGTTCAATGGCAGAATAAGGCGACGCTTTTAACAATTTGCAATTGAATTCTCCTCTCACACACACACACACACACGCACACTCACATACACACACACATCAGGCACGTAACCCAAAAAATACAAAACGAAAGCATAGAGGGCTTTGGTGGGAGGGATGGGGTTCTAAATAAATAAACATCTTTACAGATAAAACACTCGGATTGCAGAAATATCACTGAGGTTTTTGAGAAAGCCGTGCAGAGGTTTGCATGCTAGAAGATAACTTTTTTGAAGATTTCTCAGCAGACTGCCTGCCACCAGGAGACGAGGGCACTCCAGAATCTAGCTGGGAAGACTTGGATTTGCGAGTGGACAGCAGGGAATGTTTAGCAGAAGCAGGGTCCTTGGTGACAAGCTGCTCTTTTCCAAATGCATTTGCATTTGGCTGCTGGGAACCTGGAGGCTGGGAGGCTTTCTCGGCCTTCTCATCCCCGGCATTCTTACAGGCCAACTTGACAGAGCTCCCACTGGCCTTCTTGGAGAGCAAGGTTGTCTTGCCAAGATCAGTCGACCGCCGGGTTTCCTTCTGTCTCAAGGCTGACTTGAAGAAGGACAGCCCCTTGTCCTCCGACTTGCTGTCCCGCTTCAGACCAGCCTTCACGCTCGTGTTGGGGGAGCGCAGGCTGGCCATGGAAGAGCTCCTGACGTGTTTTCCGTCCCCTCGGCCCTCCCCCACCCTGGCCTGGCTCACCCGTGGGGAGCTGGGTTTGGAGCTGGAGGCAATGCTGGCTCTGTCGGAAGCCAGGCTTTGTCTGGAGCCCTCTCTACTTAAGCTCCTGTCTGAAGTCCTGCCCTTCCCAGGAGGGAAGGGGCCCCTCGTGGCAGGGCCCGAGACTTTTTTGGCAGATGTGGAGGAAGCAAGGTAAGTGAGAGAAGGGGCTGACTTCTGTTTCTGGGGTGAACGAGACGACACGGAGTCCTGGGATTTGGGGGAGGACTCTTTTTTGGGTTGTGCAGGGGCAGGGGAGGAATGCCGTCCACTGGCCCTGGAAGAAGAATCTGCTTTGCCTCGGGAGCGAGAGGGCTTTATAGAAACTTTTACAGGAACAGGAGAAGAAGGGGATGTACTCGAAAGAGATGACTCCTGGCTTGCCAAGACTGGTCTCCCCTTCCGCACACTTCTATCTGGCTCAGAAGCGCCTTTGGAGCTGGGGGATCTCTTGGTTGTGCTCTCTGGTTTCTTCGTGAGGGAGCCTGGCTGGCTGGGGGGTTTCACCTCTTTGACTGGAGAGCTGTCTACAGAATCACTCTGATCCACATAAGCAATCTGGTTATTGTTATCAAAAGGATCAGAGATGGGGGGCACACGATCCCCTTGTGCTGAGTTTTTGCTCTGTGTATCTACACCACTGGAGTTCAATTTGCGGGTGTCTGATTCGTCTTTGAACACACCTTCCATGACAGCCAGAGGGGCCCGACCCATAGCCTTGTGCTCACGTCGACTATGACTATCGCTTGGTTCCTGGTAACTGCTGGCAAGGTTCCTCAAGCTACCAAAGCAAGAGATGGAGACCTTGTCGTCCACTGCCTCCCCGATCTTCTCCAAGGTAGAGGCGGAGGTGTGAATCGGAGAGTCCCCTGAGAATCGGGAAGGAGAATTGGAGCGCATCTGCAGCTTAGCAGACAGGGACCAAGAAGGTCGAATGCAATTTTCGCTGACCGCCAAAGGGCTGGTGACAGAAGATCTGGACGACAAGCTCTGACGCTGGACGCTTCTCACAAACGGTCGAGTTGAGAAACCTCCTGAATACAGCAAAGAGAATTTTGTTAAGCTAAACAACAAAACTTCCTCATAACATCTAAAGATGGAAGGAAGATGGAAGGAAGGCAAGCCTCGTGGAATGATAGGAGCATGGCCTCAGAGTCAGCACGTCTGGGGTCAAAGAGCAGCCATGTGACTTCAACTTCTCTGAGCCCAGTTCCCCTATCTATAAAACAGGGACATTCTAACTCGGGGATTCGGCCAGCCGACTCTTTACCTTCTTGCTCCACATTAGGGGTCAGCAGACTTTTCCTGCAAAAGCCCAGACAGCAAATATTTCAGACTTCGTGGGCTAGCCACCCAACTCTGCCACTGTAGCACCAAAGCAGCCACAGGTGACACATAAACAAATGGGTGTGACTGGGTTCCAATAAAACTTGATTTACAAATAAAGGCAGGGGCCATATTTGGTCTGTGAGCTGTAGCCTGCTGACCCCTGTTCTAACTCACAAGGCTACTATGAGAATTAACTAAAATCTTGAAAGTCTTGTGCCCAGCAAAGCACCTGGCATTCCACAGACGCTCAATCAATGTGAGCTGGTGATCCACCTGCTGCTTCTTCCTAAGGACATCCAGGGCTCATGGAAGTGATGTCCTTGCCCAAGATCACAGAGATAATCAGAGGCAGTGCTAATATCAGAACCACAACCGCTTGTCCTGCCCTCAATGCCACATGTAGGTTGGCCTGTAAGTACTGACTATCGAAGTGGACCAGTGGAAAAAATTAAAGAGACTTCGAAACAATATACCCCTATGCCGAGTGACTTAAAACTTCCAAAGACAATATTCATAATTAGAATAATATACTCCCACCCTGAGTGACTTAAAACTTCCAAAGAAAATATTCTAAGTGGAATTCTATACATACTTGATACCATAGCTGTAGTATTTATAAAGCTGTGTCTGGATGAGATCCTAAGATAAGCACTGTTCTATGGGCACCACCCAGCATCACAATGTGATGATGATGCTTAAGAGGATATCGATTTCACCAACTGCACTGCTTAAAAATAGACCAGGGGCAAATGATATCTAGGCTTATTGTTAAAATGACACTGAATTGTAAGTTTAAAGGCTGTATTGAAAATAACCTCTACCTACACAAGCAAAGATGCACTCATCAGCTTTTCATAAACTGTCAGGAGCTTAGCAATTACAGCCTAATACTTTTATTTTACAAATAAAAAAGCGACAAGCCAGAAGCAGCAGCAGAGCCGGAGCTACAATGCAGATCTCTCAGTCTGGCATTGTACTTCCAACCTCCTGCTTTTTTTTCTCCATTTCATGTTCTCAGAATTATCCATCACTACTAGAAGCAGATTACAGCGATCGAAATGCTGGCCGCAGAATGAGATTTGTTGGAAGATGAGTCACCGTCCTCATTATAGAAGCTGAGCTCACTCTCTCCTCCTTCCAGCTCTCAGTGCTTTGGCTGCCTGCTCCTTCCCATACCACCGGGGGGCCCTGTTAGAACTAAGGGCTGAGCTGACACTACTCAAGCAGTAAGTGAAGGTAAAAAAAAAAAAAAAAACAGAGGTCAATTTTTATCAGATTTTCAAAGTTTTTTATTGTGACTATCTTCAGAATTCCTAAAAACTACTTTTATGCAGAGGCAATAGTTTTTGTTCTAGACACTTCTGTATTCTGTACTTAAAAGGATAGGCCACAAATGCCTCTAAGGGAAACAGCATGGTGGAAAGGTGAGAAGCTGAGTCAGAAAGCCTCTATACCAGGCCCAGCACAGTGACTCCTCACCACGTGGCCCTGGGCAAATCACAACTCAGTGAGTCCCCTTACAGCTATTCTGAGGACCTTAAAAAGCACTTGGAAAAAAATGTATTCATTACTGTACAGAGTTAAGCTCCAGCCTGCACACTAGACCTTAAAAGTGGAAAATAGGGGCTGGCCCGCTGGCGCAAGCAGTTAAGTGCGCGTGCTCTGCTGCGGCGGCCCGGGGTTCGCAGGTTCGGATCCCTGGCGCGCATTGACACACTGCTTGTCAAGCCATGCTGTGGCGGCGTCCCATATAAAGTAGAGGAAGATGGGCACGGATGTTAGCCCAGGGCCAATCTTCCTCAGCAAAAAGAGGAGGATTGGCACTGGATGTTAGCTCAGGGCTGATCTTCCTCACAAAAAAAAAAAAAAAAAAAAAAAGTGGAAAATAATGAAGTGGAAGGAAAAGTCCTAGGGCACTAGGAAAAGCAAATGACCCTGTTTTATAAAATGTTACTTAAGATCATAACCCACAGCTATGCAGCCCTGCTCTCCATAATCCGTTTTACGTTCTCCCACAATCTTCTTGGAACCTGTTCCTAACCATGAGGGACTCTGTGCTGTGTCCATGAGTTGCCATTTTGGAAATCTGTCACCAAAACCCACACCTACCATCATCTTCACTCCTTTCCCCAGTCATCTCCACGGACTCAGACAGCGAGGCCAAAGAGGTGCGTCTGGAGGAGGCTGCAGAGGTCACGCTGGCTTGCTTGCTCCCCGGGAGCCGGCTCACCCAGTGTTCGCACAAGGAAGAACTTGTGGAGCCTGCAGAAAAGGAAGCTGGCATTGAAGTCAGGCCAGAATCCCGGGACCGGCCTGCACTGCACACACCCTCAGGAAGATGCTGCGCCTGAGCTGGGGCGTGGCTGATGTCCTCACCACCAGGTCAGCATCAACTCCCAGACTCCACACTGTGCCTGCTCAAATACCCTGTTAAGGTGAGAAACTTAACTGGGAGTGCAGGTTCCCACACACGTTTGGTAATGAAATACAAGTATAGGGATGGACATATCATAATGCAAAGTCCAAGTCTCAAGTGCCAGCAGTAGAATGGAATATAGACAATCGTTCATCTATTCATTCATTCTATAAATATTTATTAAGCACCTATGTGCCAGGCACTGTTCTAAGCACTTGCAGTAATATTCCTGACACAGAGAAAGAAAAGAAAGAGAGCGGTAGTGCAGGGTTATTTTCTTAGCCTCGCTGTTTCATGGAATTTTTAAATCATTTCCACAATATTAATATACTAACACATACACAAATGCAGACACACAGGGCTGTATGTCAATCTGTTCCAGGGATGCCCTTAAATATATATTAGAGCAACAGAAATTGCTCTCGAAATTGAGAACATGACTCAAGTAGACCTCTGAGCATCTCTCAGACTCGGGAAAGCACTGAGGGAAGGCCTTAAAGCACTGAATTTCCACTTTCTGTTAACTGAGTGAGTGCTACAGACAGATGGGTGTACTGGCTGGGGTTTGACTCCAGCGGGGGCTCACTCTGCTTCAGTGGTGCTTCCCTTTAGTGGCTTCAAACCTAGCCCTCACAAGCTTCAAGGGGAGCAGGGATGAATATTCCCTACCCCGATGACACATTACCACTGTCCTTTGTCACATTCTCTTAACCTCTGCATTAAGCGCCCCCTTGTTTGGATTGTGTGTGGATGCATCCATACTGTGTGTGGGTATTGGTTTCTGTGTTTATTAAACACAACAGACTAGATCCCATCAGGCTAAACCCAATCCATCCACTATTATGACAGCCTTCAACCCTTCCCCTAACAGAACAGGCCAATCTTACTGGAAAGAACAACTACTTCTAATGGTGCTTTACCCTTTACAAAATGCTGTAACATACATTTAGCTAATCCGATGCATACAATGACCCCATGAGGTAGGTACTGTTATTACACCCATATCACAGATGATAAATATGTGGCTTGGATGGGACGTGCTCCAAGATAACCCAACCAAAATATGGCAAAGCGAAGTCTCCACTCTATTTCCAAATCCCTCATTCTAATCCCTAATCCCTACCCTTATTAGAGTAGCATGCCACACTGCTTTTTAGCTCATTCATTCATTCATTTACTCCACAAGTAAAAATCACGAGCTTACTTTGAGCCCAGCTCTACTCCACCTCCATCTGAACTCTGCTGGTTCACAGCTGCTCACACTCCACCCATTTCCTTGATTGCAATCATTCTGGTTTCCAGATTAAATGCAAATGTGAGAATTAATCTGATCAAACTCACAGAGTCATGAGACCTTCTGGAGAAGTTCTCTGGACCATTAATTATAATCTTCTGCTCTGGCAAAAACTGCCCAAGAAGAGAGCCAGCCTTACCTGCCACTGAGCTGTTGGCCGACCACGATGGTATAGCTGTCCGCCTCTGGTAGAAGAGGATGTACGCCGTCTGTGTGCAGACTTCATCTTCCGATAGCTGCTGCACATCACTGTCATCGAAGCAGTACCAGAGACCGTCCACCGAGTTCTTACAGTATGCTGCCAAAAGAGCCCACCATCAGTACGGGGGTGGCTGCACCAGCCATCAGTCTACCCACAGACACCATTTCTTAGGCCTATATAAGTAATTCAAGAACTTTTTAAGACTGCATGTAGTAACACAGAAAGAAGTAAAAATTCCGAATCCCGTATCACACTCGGGCAATATGTTTCAAGAAATTCCAAATATCCAAATAGATGAAATTCTATATAATCTTAGAAAACACAATATACTTATTTAGTTAAACCAGTGGGACTCAACCAGGGATGGTTTTGCCACCCAGGGGACAGCTGGTAATGAATGGAGATGTTTTTGATTATCACAACAGGGGGGGACGATGCTACTGGTATCTAGTGGGTAGAGACCAAGGACGCTGCTAAACATCCTACTATGCACAAGACAGCCCCACAGCAAAGAATTATCCAGCAAAAATGTTAATAGTGCTAGGGCTGAGATACCCTGATTAAAGCATGTCATAATGTTTTAGTGTTTATTAGAGATAGGAAATAACAGAAGTAGAAATAGTGATACTAATAATAGAGCAGCTAATATTTGTTTAGCACTTACTATGTGCCCGGCATTTTATTCAGTCCTATGAGATTTGTTCTATCATTATTCCCATTTTACATAGGCTCAAAAAGATGAACCAGCTTTTGCCCAAGGTCACAAGGCTGGTGAAGGGCAGGGCACAGCTCATTTCAGATTATCTCGTCCCTGAGCTTGCACTTAAACCCTTACCCTGTCTCCCTCAGGGGCAGCATCAATGACTGCCCCATGGAAATTCCCAGGCAAACTGAGAACATTTGAGCTCATGAATGCATGTGGCCTTTTCTCAGGTCAAGTTCTGAACCTGAGATAGAAATAAAGAGCGTTCAAGAACCAGCAAGAACAGACAACAACTTAGTGTTCAAGAAGCCACGTCATCCTGTAAGGATTTATCAAAGGGTGTGATAAGCTTGATCCAGAAAGGTACATTCTTATCACACTTTCTAAAATACCCATTTATTGGGGTGAGAATAAGTGAGTGCTAGAATATTTAGCTGAATACAAGAACAGACTTAGTATGGCTCCAGGGGACATAAGGTCCTGAGAGGCACCAGGAGTGACCCCCTCGATAGGCCACCACCACTTCTGCAAGTATGGAACCCTAAGAGATGAAAGGGACCCAGGAGAGGAGGGGCCATACCAGACAGGTCCCAAAAAAGAGCAGAATACGAATCTACGATTGTAGGGAGGAAAGTCATCTGCAGCTACGGACTCACTAGAACCAGCAAGGGAGAGAAATGGAGATAGAAGCAGCAAATGGAGCTAGTAAAACAGCAACTGTTTGGTCAATGGTGTCAGGTCAGGCTTGATGGACACACGACCCAGCTGGCGAGGTGGCTGCTATTCTGGGGGGACAGTGGGAGTAGAACTGTAAGGGGCAACATGCCCAAGAGAAGGGGACAGAGCAACCTCCCACTAGCTTCAGTCTGTTTCTCTTTAAGATGGTCTGTCCTCAGTCACAGATTGGAAAGTAAGGAGCACAGTAACTCAATGGGTAAACGATGTATTTACAAAATAATTCTATTTGCTTTTCTTCCTAGCACTATTTTCTGAAGTGTTTTCTAGACCAGTGCTCCTCAAACTGTAGCCCACAGACTGGCGTCAGTCCACAAGATAAACACCAAAATTGAGATGAGCACTTAAAAACTTTTATGGCAAGCTGATACTGCCACGATATTTTTATTGTATTTTTGCAGAAGTATTGGTTCATGAAGGATTCGAAATTTTAAAAAAGAAAAAGACAGGTTCTTCATCACAGATAGTTTGGGAAGCACTGTTCTAGAATCCTTACAGAACTTAGCCATACACATACCATGTAATTATAGCTAGAACTAGCGCAAAATAAAGAACACATCAAAATAAACATTCCAAATGAAAACTTAAAACAAGTATCTTTAACAATGCTGAGGTATTTAAAAATGTCCTCTAAACTAAGACTCTAAACATTTTATATACCAGAAAAACAGTGGCATGGCCTAAGCAGGGGAAAAGGAAACAATGCAGAAAATATCCATGCTCCTCCTCGGTAATGGTCCCGTGAGGCAGGCACGACCCCACTGGCTCGCTAATGTGGTCGCCATGTTAGAGTAAGGTTCCTCACCTGAGGTCGTGGGGTTAGGAAGATGTGTGTAGCTTCTAACCCAAGCTCCTCTCACTAACTCGTACTGCCTCCATGGCAGTTGTGGGTTTTCAGACATTTTCCAGTCTATTCTATATAGGAAGCAATGTGATAAGCTAAAATCTAGCACTGTCCTATTTTTCTTAACAATTTCCTGCTGGAAACTACACAACATGCCAGCCCATATTTTCCTGAGAAACAGTGTCATACATGGAAGATGCATTCTTTACCAAAGCTGAAGGTGGATGAACACCAACCAGGGACGCTGGCAAAGGTATTAGTACACCTAATTAGTGAAATTAAATTACCTCTAAGTCTCTCAATTCTAAGCATCCATGAGTACCTAATTCTATGACTCAGTCTCAAAGAACACAGTTATGACTAGTAATGCCACAAAGGCATAGATCCAGCTAGACACACGTTTACTATACAAGTGGCCCCCATAAAACAGAAATATAAAATACCCAAGACACAAAATACAGTATTATCAGAATCTAAATTTGCTTTAAACCAATAGACAAGGCAAAATATATTTAAACATTTAATTAATATTAACTTTGTCTTCTACAGACTGCAAGGATCTTTTGAACTTCTCTACCTCCTCTTTCTCCTTGAAAGTGCTTCCTAGGGCAAGTAGAGGCAATCCAAACCATTCCATTATGAGATACAGTCAAAGTGGGATCATTCCTCTCACAAATAATTGTTGCCTGCAGCATCTACATACTGAAAGAACTTGAACTAGAAGGGTTTCAAAAATAAAAGATTACTGTATCCAGTCACGTTCTGCATCCCCTACCTCCTGTGGGGAGAGGAGGTTGAGAGGGTGAGTGTGCTGGGCCAAGGCGGGGTTGGAGGCCCAACAGGCTCCTTTACCTTGTTGGTGGGAGTCTCAGGGCTAACTGCTAGGGAAGAGTCTCAGAGACTCTGAAATACCAGCTGGCAGAGCTCACCCTCCTCTACCTCCCCTACCTTCATGAATCACTAGTACCCTGGGGTCTTGTTGCAGAAACCACTGAATTAATGAAGAAACAAAGTCCCTGAGAAGTACGCATGCCAAATATGCTGAGTGTGAAGGATGCAGAAATCCGAGTCCTTGCCACCCATACAGGGCAACCAAATGAATAGTGGTGCCCTCACATCAACTCCACATACATGGATGTCCAAGCAAGAACCCCCACATCTACCTGCCTCCCCAGTGTTCAGGTATGCCCTTAACCCAATAATTCCATGTCTGAGACTCTATCTCGTGGAAATACAGAACTAAAATACAGAAGAGGCAAATATGCAGAGATGTTCATCACTGTTATATTCAAAGTTAAAAACCAGAAACAATATACATGTTCAACAATGGGGAATGGTTATATAAAATCAGAGTTCTATCAACAGAATATTCCGTGCTTATTAAAAATAGTGTTTATAAAAACTAAGCATCTCCCACATTAGCCCGTAAGGTCCTCAGTGCAGGCAGCAGGCTACTAATCCCAATAGCTTCTCCCATCCCTCCAGGAAGAGCATGCTCTGACCACTCTCTCCTCGGCCCCCTGCTCTACCACTGTTCACACTGCCAGACAGAACCCATTATTACACAGCACTACTCTTTCATTTCATTTGTACCTACATCCCCCTCCTTGATCACACTCTTGGAAGGCAGAGGTTGAGACGTATTCCTTTCCAATGTGCCTCTCATGTGATATAGCCTAGTGTGAGCTTTAGAGGACATGCTCTGAAAATGTTCACCTAAATCGAACACACCAGTACAATCACAACAGTGTAAAATAACAGCCAAAACTTACAGAGACACACTGGAAGGAAACACCATATGTCAAAACGTTACCTACATACAATGAGATATTATTCAGTCTTAAAAAGGAAGGAAATTCTGATACATGATACAATATGGGTGACTCTTAAAGACATTATGCTAAGTGAAATAAGCCAATCACAAAAGGACACATAGTGTATGATTCCACTTATATGCAGTATCTAGAGTAGTCACATTCACAGAGACAGAAAGAATGGTGGCTGCCGGTGGATACGGGGTGGGGGTGACAGGAGTTATTGTTTAATAGGCACAAAGTCTCAATTTGAGAAGATGAAAAAAGTTTTAGAGATGGATAGTGGTGATGGTGATTCACAAAGATGTGAATGTACTTAATGACGCTGAACTGTACACTTAAAAATGGTTAAAATGGTAAATTTTGCTAGGTATACTTTACCACAATTTAAAAAAAAGGTTACCAGTGGTTATTTTTGAGGGGTAAGCCCACGGATGATGGTACTGTTCTTTCTACCTCTCTCTAGCCGTTAAATTCAAATGATGAGCACTGTTGCTTTTACAAATGAAGAAGTAAATTTAACCTTAAAACAAAAAGAAAAACCCTTCCAAGTCACTTTAAAGACACTATAAAAGTGATACACAATCACTCCAAATAAGGGAGAAGCTAGAACCTCAAGGAAGTAGAGCGAAACGTTAAATGGGGAGTGCAGGTGAGATAAAGCGAATCCTCAGTGACCCCAACGATGCTGTCTATCTGCACACGCCATTCCCCCATCAGGTCAGACACCTACTGGATGCGCCAACTCAGGAAAAGGGGGAAGAATTTCGTTTATTTGTTCCAGGATGGAGATCCTGAGGATGAAAAATGCCCTCCGAGTTGGCACACTGCCCACCGGAAGAGAAACTCAGGCTCTAAAGCAAAGTAACCAAGTCACAAGCAAATCTGAAGGCATTGTCAGCACAGACACCCGGCCTCTCGCACTGCAGACCTGTGTAGTGCCCCCCTTGCATGGTGCCATGATGATTGCACACAGCATACAGGTCATAGACGTAGTCCTCAGGGTCCCTCCCGAGTCCATAGGGCCGTCTCCACGGAGACCAATGGGATGGCAAACTCCAGCTGCTCTGGCTCCTCTTAACCACATGAGGTGTCATGTCCAGGCCAGTCAAGGGGAACTTGACCATGTTCTGAAGTTTCATACGCCTGTCTCCTTCCTGTTGCAAGAAGAAAAACAAGTTCTGATGATATTTTCACGTAAGCAGATGACAGATCAGTTTAGCGTGGAATGTGGCCTCTATCAGCTGAAGTCGGTTTGAATTACCTATCTGATGTTTCCCAAGACACACATAAAATAGGGAAACAGACTAACAGTTTTAACTACTTGGAGGAACAGGTTTTTAAGTCACCAAAAATGGAATCAGTGATGATCTACATATAATGGGTAATGAGCCTCTCTGAGTTTTTATTTCCCTATCTGATCAAGGGCTTTTAGGCTTTTGACTTACAAAATGACAATTTCAGGTGGTTCATCCTGATGCCTCTGTCACAGAGGCATGCACGAAAAGTAATGGAGTAATAACACACGTGAAGGGCCAAGCATAGTGCTGGCACAGAACAGCCATTCAGTAAGCAGTGCCTCTCTCCTCCTCACCTCCTCCAGCAAGACATTAACAGTGACTTAGCTTAATACATTCATTTAGCTGACGATCTTGGGTAATCTGTATTTTCCATTAAGCCCACTGGGTAATCCTTTGAAATCCAACCATCAGTTGAATAGATATTTACTGAATGTTTCCTGTGTCTATGGGAGCTTTATAAAAATTAACGGGGCACAGATAATGCCCACGCCAAGGAGCCATGGCTCTACTAAGCGAAGAAAAATCTTTGTAAGAGACAGGTAGGATGGGCCCTGGATGGTCAGGAAGGTCAGGCTAAAGAATTTGGATCTTGTTATGTAGTCACAGGGGAAGTACTGAGGCTTTGAGGGCAAAGGTCATGTCATCAGAGTGGTGAGTGAAGAGTTGTGTAAGCAGTGCATAAAACATGGCAGAAGGGAAGAATAGTGTAGGTTAAGAAATCAATTAAAAGACACTGCAACTGCAATCAGCTGGAAAGTATCAAAAGTGGGAAATGGCAGGGTGACAGCAAGAATGGGGAGAAAGAGACACATACAGAAGGCAATGGAGAGGTACAACCAAACTGAAAAGGTGACTACCTAGATGAGAGGGACAAGAAAGAAAAGTCAAAGATGACACTGCAGTTTTGAGTCCGGGGTGCTGGAAGGGTGATGATATGCCTTCAAAAGAAACAGAAAGCAAAGGAAATTAGTCTGTGTGTGTGTAGAAGGAGACAGAGAAGGCTGGGGTCCAAACCGTCAACCAGCTATCTACCCGCGGATCCAATGGAAGTATGCAGTTGGGACATTCAAGGCAAATGCCCACTCTTGACTACTATAGGAGCCGCACTCCAAACCTCTGTGTGAAAGCCCAGCCCTGGGGGCCATGTGCGTGTCACCTCTGACACCCTCACTTCATCAGCAAGTCCTAAACACCTCTCAAATCTCTTCAGGACTCTCCATCTCCACGGCCACAACTCCATTCCAAGCCATGAGCATCCCTCCCCGCTGGATGACCACAATGGCCTCCTTCTGAACCCCCTCTCTTCGTTCTTGTAGCCTCTAATTCTCCACACAGCAGCCTGAATGGTCTCTTCAAAACACAAATTTGGTAATGTTGCTTCTCTGCTTAAAACCCTCATCAGAACCCCACTCTGCCTACAAGGATCTGCTCGGATGTCCAGCCCCTGCCCACCTCTTCTACCTCCACTCAGACCTCTCTCCCCACCCTCGGGAGCTCCAGCCAAGTAGGCCTGCTTTCAGCCCCCTCTGCATGCTTTGCACCCACTGCCTCCCTCTGCCACATGTGCGTGCAGCCCTGCTCCCTCCTCACCTGGTAAATGCCTACCCCTAATCTTTCAGATACAAACCTTCTTAAAGCCAGACCCCAGAGACTCCTGTAACGTTTACCTCCCACTGACCTCTCTTACAATGGGGCTGCCCAGGACAACCCTAACCTTAGGGAATAGACAGGCTTTTTGGAAAAACTGACTCACAAAGCAATACAATTCAAAGCAAGTCTTCTTTGTATATATTTATGACTCATTCCCCAACTATACAACAGCTCCTAGGGAGCAGAACGACAACCGTCATTACTTGAGGTAGAACTAGAATTCTACCCGCCCCAAAAAAGAAGCTCTACTTTTCTTTTTTAAATCCCAAAGTACGCTTACTTAAGCACACATTTACAAATCTAAAGCAAATCCTCAAGAAGAAAGTAAAATATCTGCAGTATGAACTAAAATGTTTAGGATTTAAAGGGCCACAGGATGCCCAAATTTTGCTTTGGGGAAGAAGAAAACATGACCCTAAGACAGGGGCAGATAGATGTGTGTCTAACAACAAAGACAGGATCACTGGATCAAACGGGGACACCAAAGACCCCACGCAGCCCACCAGCAGGGGGCACAAGAAACTTGGTCACAGCTTTTTTCCCTACAGCAGATGATCTCCTTACCTGTCGAAACCTCTTTAGATGTATAATAAGCACATCAGGCAGAGTCCAGAGGCTTAACGTAATGCTCCCCTGCTGCAGCTGCTTACAGTGTGGGCAACGCCAGGCGTCATCCGGGGCAAGCTGAAAACAAGGAGCACGGCTTCTGTTAAGCGCCACTTAAGGCAAGACTTTTTTACAGGAGACAGCTGGACTCACTTCTTGGCCAGGGCACAGTACAACTCAGAATCTCTCTGGAAACTCCATATGACGGAGTGAATGGAAAAACACAATCAAAAGTGGCACCTGGCCAGAGTTGGCACCCGAATGTTTGCTGAATAGATTACTTCTCAAAAAGGAATGACTAAATAGGTAAATATTTATATAGAGGATGTTGAATGCATAGAAGCACCTCACACTCGGCATAACTCCCAAACTCAACTCATCGCCTTTCCATCAATATAGTGCCCCTTTCTCCTCCTCCTGTATGTCCCACCTCAGCAGATACCACCACCACCCCCCACAAGCAGAACACGGGTGGTTATCTCAAACCCCCAAACCCCTCCCTCTTCCTCCTGCTCCACGGCCATCCAAAGTAATTCTCTCTGCCATTTCTCATACCTGTCTCCTCCTCTCCGACCCCACTAACACTACCTTAATTCGAAGTCCTCACTCATTCTCCTACCTGGACTTCTTCAAGTCTCTTAACTGCTCTCTCTCTCCCAAGCACTGGACTGCTCCAAGCAATCCTCCCCATCCTGCTATCAACAAGATCTTTCTGAACATCAATCTGAGGCCTCAAATCCCTGTATGTCATCTCTGTAGGCAAGGGTTTCAGGATGGGGACATATTAAGTTAGAGGTACCAATAGGACATGTCTGGTGAGAGATTTTAAAAATCTACTCCACAGTTCAGAAGATGCATCAGATCTGATGCATCAACATGATGAGGTAAAGGAAGCATTGGAATGGATGGCAATGTCCACTGAGATGGAAGAGAAAGAAAGAAGCCAAGAACAGAACCTTGGGGAATGCCTATTTTTAAGGGAAATAACAAAAGTTGAGAAACCACCAGAACCTGAGGACGCATAGTCAGACAAACAGGCAAATCAGAAGCATTCCCTTTTATGCACACCAAGAAAAGAGAGTGGCGAGAACAAGGTGGTGGTTACCAGTACCACATCCTATGGAGAGGTCAAAGGTAGACTGAGCAGAGGCCACTGAATTGAGCACAAACTAGGGGCCACTGAGAACTCCAGAGAGCAGAGTCAGAAATGCAAGTCAGAGAGGTGACGAGAGGTTTGGAAAGGAAGGAGGGAGGGATGGAGAAGAGCTGAAACCCCTATTGGTGAAGTTAGGCAGAAAAGAGGAGGAGAAAGACTGGTAAGGTAATTTAAAAGGGAAGCAGAACTGAAGAATGTTTTTTTCATCACAGGGAGACCCAATCATGTTTGTAGGAAAGAGGGGGAGGGACAGAAGTTTGGATGGATGAAAGTGAATCAGAAAGTTAGACTGGAAAGGACCTAAACCGTCACCTGGTAAGTCCACATCTGTGCGACATATTAATAGTCTACATATATGGCCATCCAACCCATTGCCTGTGGTAGAAGAGCAGGTGGTTGTTTATTTGATTTTTCATTTCCAATACATTACAAACAAATACTTTCATCGGATGCAATAAGAATGTCATGACAATGTCTAATAGCTATGACCGTTTCTAAAACACTTCTCTGATTGCTGTACTTATCTTGTAAACTGTTAAAAAGAGCTCCCAGACCTGCAGACCACACTCAGAGCATCGCTGGTCTAGCTAACTCTGCCTAGCAAATGAAGAGGAGCTATCTCAGTAGGCAGCTACTCCATTTTCACATAGTCTGTTACCAAGTTCTTCCTCATATTAAGACAAAATCCAATCTTAAAGTTCTGCTTTTTAGATAAAATTAAGTCCAATCTCTCATCCACGGACAGTCCTCGGAGTGCCTGAAAATAACTATCGGATCCCCACTTAAGGCCTCCTTCATCAAAGTATATTCAGTGTGTCATGATTTCCAGATGCACCATTCCCCATCCACTCTCTGCCTGCGCCCCAGTTCATCAGTCTCTTAACAGTAAATGTTGAAGGTAATGAAAAAAGCAGCGCTGTTACCATCCGAGCGCTGGACAACTGCTCCTAAGGCAGCACGACAGTGGCTGACACACACATGACACTGCTGGTCAATACTGAGCTGGCAGACAACTAGACCCCAAAGTTATCATCACACGGCCTACTGCTAAGTCTCCCCTTCTCCCCTTCTATGTTTGTACCGTTGTTTTTGGACCCAGTGAGTGAACTTTCCAAGTAACACTCATTCATTCATTCACTCCAGTCTATAATTATTGGATGCTTTCCATGTGCCAGGCACTGCTATAGATACTAGGATTATTTTATGACCAGGACAGATTCTCTTAACTCTCTCCCTTACCCCCTGAGCTCCAGCCACACCGGCCTCATTCCTGTTTCTCAACCCTGCCAAGTTCCTTCCCACCCCAGGGCCTTTGCTTCCTTTATTTACTTGTTTATCTCACTAGACTGTAAACAGCCTGAGGGCAGAAACGCCATCCTTCTTGGTCCCTGCTATATCTCCAGGACCTAGAGCAGTACCTGGCACATAGTATGTACTCGATAAACATTCACTGAATGAATGAGTTCCTATGAAAATGTATCATCCCTCTAGATCAGCGGAATGTTTTGTAGAATACCGACGTTGTCATCTAGTAGATTTGCTCACCTTTAAGCTTTGTGACATTTGCAAATATCTCCCAAATCAATTTTTAAAAAGCTAAATAGGATAAGGCGCTACACAGAGCATGTAATCAACCAGTTTCAAAACCAACCCAAAACTGAAAAAACATGTCTTATGAAAAATTATTAAAAGAACTAAACAGCTTGGTGGGGGAAAGACTCTGAGAATATGAAAACTATTTTCAAATATTTAAAAGACAGACAAGTGGAAGAAAATTAAGCCTTGTCGTCAACTGTTCTTAATGAACTCAAGAGAGAGAACACCTGTTGGTTATAGTAACTGGGGACGTATTTCAGGTTAACTTCAGTCACCATCAGAGAGATCCAGAGAGGAAATGGTATGTTTCTTGAGTAGAGAAAAGTCTCATAACTAAAGGTATTCAAACAGTGGACAATTACCTATTATGTAGAAGAACTCAACCATCAGAAAAAAGGAGCTTTAAAGTCCCCTCCAACCCTGAAATTGCACGATTCTTTATATACAAGAGTGAGGAGTAACAATCAGTGGTCAAAATTATGATCCTTAACATCAACTTAAGATTAGACAAACTCCACATGCTCTAGTCAACGTTTCTCAAGGTGCATTAAATCGGGAGAGTTTGAAAAACCACACAAGCCTGGGCCTCATCCACAGAGACATTTATCCATCTATCTGTCCATCATTTCATTCAAATATTTACTGAGCCCTTACTAACTGCAAAGCACTCTGCTAAGTAGTCCAAAGCATGTTGTCCAATAGAACTTTCTGTCTATACCTACACTGCCCAATATGAGAGCCACTAGCCACATGTGTCTACTGAGAACACGAAATGTGGCTAATGCAACTAAGAAATTGGATTTTTAATTTTATTTAATTTTAATTAATTTAAGTTTAAATTTTAAATAGGTCCTAGTACCTATGTTCTTGTATCAAAAAGATGAGAATCACTGGTCTAGTTACTAAGGAAAATAATTTAAAATCTCTAAATTGAAACAAAAAATAAATTTACTATTAACCATTAAAAAGAAAAAAAAGAATTAACCACAAAGGTTCATTTCTAGAGCATTTTAATTAATCAAGGTTTTCTGGAAACTTCAACTACTTTTTGTTAAAGCCCTAAAAGGAATAATACTAAGACGCCCATTACGTGTGTAGAACCTATGTAAACGCAAAAATCCTGGGGAGTTTTCTGGGGCATAATTTGTTCCTCCATGTCATCCTGCCATGCCCCGCTCCCTAGCCAAGAATGCTGCCCAATCCTTACCCGTTCCTCTTTGGTGTAGAGTTGGAAACACTGGGATAAAGTGCAAGTCTGAGGCTGATGGTGACGCTCCCTTTGCAGACGGACACTTTCTGCATCAGGAATATACTCATCTTCAGTATTTACAAACAAGCTGCAATTCCGGGAAAAAAAAAAAAAGCATTGTTATTAGAAACCGTCTTGCAAAACTGACACAAAAATACAAGTACAGCTTCATAATGTGACTATAAATTCATAACCAAAAAGATCAATGTGTAAGAAAGCCAAAGTGGTAAGCCAACTTTTCTGAGTTCCTAAATGATCTTGAAAAGTTCTCTATCAAGTTGTTTCCAAGAAAGAACATGGAGCTGGTTTTTCTGGGATTGGCCCTGAACTGCACTGATTAATTCACATACTCCTGTCCTTTGTATCTAAGGGTATGCATTTGACATAACTTACTAGAGTCAATGGGCCTGTAATAAAAATCAAAGTAATTGCACCTATACAGTAGTTAATGAATATACAGCTTCTGTCTCATTAGCAGCAAACAAACGTTCTAAGGTTTGGGATCCAGACAACAGAATGAATAGGAAGGGAAGAATAAACTGCTTAAATAAAGGACTAGCAGCACACTTGGATACTTAGCTAAAGAAAAGAGAGATTTGTGTTTCAGCTCATTTGAAAGATCAAAGATATGCTACTGAAATGATAATTAAAACGACGACTCTATAAACACTAAGTAAAAAAATACTCACAAATCTTTTGTCTCCTTGTCCCATTCTACCACTAATTTCACATGAGCAGTGCCACCTGGTCCACAAGATTTTAATGCCCTATAGGATGGGGAGGGAAAGGCGGGGAAGTCACACATTATTTTCTAAATAAATGATATTACTTAAACATGATTACATCCTTTCTGAAATTTGAAATCAGAATATGATTATTGAAAATCTTTATCATCGTTCTCCATCAGAAAAAGGTTCTAGCGAGATCATGACAATCTCATATTTAATAATTAAGTTATAATTGGACTGAAAAATCTTTAAACTAAAATGTCCAATACAGAAATAAAGAGATTGGAAGAAATCTAGCACCAGGTTATAAGGCTGTCCACAATCACATGTTCTTTATGACTTTTCCAACTTTACGTCCCATTTCTCACCAAGCCAAATAGAGACGAGATGACAGTCCCTCTGGGAACAAAGCCTGCTCCTGCACCCCTCCACCTTCCCTCATATACATGCCTAGTCCTTGGACTATGCCCACACCAATCTAAACTATGCCCTTCCTGCAAGGCACCACACAATTTCCACCTCCTTCCTTCATCAAGCCCCCAACTTCCTCGGCTCATTGCCATCTCCTGAGAAACTCTTGCAGCATTAACATCAATATTATTGAAAGGCAGACACTACAATATTTGTTGAAAAAATCATTATAATAAAAACAATAATGTGAGTTTTTATACTTATGTACCCATATATGTATAGCATGTATATATACATATACACATCTCTATTATTTTATTAATATAGTAGATTGTTGCAATATAATGTAGAAAGCACGAGGTAGAGGAGTGGAGTGACTAATTCTACTGGAGTGCGGGGAAGGAAGGACAGTGTAAAGAAAGACTCAAAGGAATGGAATTTATCAACGGAGGAAACTATCCATGCAAAGGGACACATAACCCAGCATCACACGTGCAAACAACCCTCAGGACTTGCATACTGCTTAGGATGGTGGGGAGAAGAGCAAGGCCTGACAAAAAAGGGAAGGAATCAGAGTTCAAACTATGGAGAACTTCACACACTGTGGAACGTGGGCTTTCTCTTTTAGGCCACAGGTTACCACTTAAGGATTTCCAGGAGGAAAGTAGTATAATTAGAATTCTACTTGGGAAAACTTCAATCTTGGTGAATATGAAAGTGTAATTCATCTGTAGTTCTGAGACATATATTAATTTGCTTTCTTAACATGAGTCCTCCAGGTTTTTCTGTTTTAAGAAAGATCATAAAACATCATACTCAAATACGAATCAAAAGTAAAATAAGTACTTAATTTCTAAATGAGCCTAAAGAACCCACCACACTTATGTGGAAATTATACCAGACATCACTAGAAATTATACATCAGTATATATGAAATTCCAGAAGGTGATTTTTTTTTTACCTTTCTACTGTTGGGTGGCACAGGGGCTGCTCCTCCTGGGGCAGCAAGTATGTTATTCCCACAACACTGACCACACGCAAACTGAACGGACACACCTGCGTCAAACAGTAAAGGAGAATCAGGCTGAATTTCTCTTCAAGGGCATCTGTTTCGCAGTGGCATTTCCAAAACAGATCAGAAGGATAGCACTGTTTTGCAAAATGCTTCTCTACAATATTCTGTTAGGTTGGTGAGCCATTCTAATATACTTTAAATACGATTTACCCAAATGTAATTTACATACCAAGTATGTTATGCAAGACAAGTAACATGTGACTTCAGCTGGACACTAACTTAATGTAAGTTTTGCATGGATACCTTAATATAGAATCATAATTTTGAAATACAAAGATAAATGTTCTACAAAATCTCTCCAAGCTGGTCATGTGCTAATCTTTATTAGACAAATATTATAAAGGACTATCTAGCAGTTCAAGGAAAATCTTGCAGTGGCCAGCTCCCTTCATAAAATGAGGGATAAGTCCTCAGTCTTGAAAATCTGAACACAGCTGATTTTACTCAACAGCTTTTCTCTGGGCTTCCCAACATTCCAGCTCAGTGCCCACTCCTCCCTAACTGCAGAGTCTGAATTTCAAATTTCACTGTAAGGACTGTTTCTTCACTGGGTACACACACAAGGCTATGCTGGAGTATCAGAAGGCTTACACACCTGAATGCAAACCGTGGGCCTCAAGAAATACTTCATCTTCTCCAAGATTTCCTTCTGCAGAAGGTCCCATGCTATTGTCTTCTCTAAGTGCAGCACAAAAGGCAGTCCAAATCTAACACACATAAATACTGTAATTGCCTTAAAAGTTTGGCAATTCCTTTAATACTGTAATTCTTTATTCATGATCTTTTTAAATGGAATCACTATAAAACTGGTTTTAGGATAGTTCTCAGAACAAACAGGAAATTTAATAGTAACTCTCATAAGTAGATGAAAAAGTCAGAAGAGAAGCTTAGATTTCTAAATAAAATTTAACAGCCCATACACCAAAACTGCTTCTCAGGAGTACGATGCTAGGATATTAAGTAGCAAGAGGACAGGATTAGCGGAGATGGTGACAAAAGAGGGTGAGAGTGGACATGAGGCTCGCACACGGCATGGGTCAAACATATAAGGGGTTAGGTGTCAGAGGAACAGACAGGGCTGGAAGGTCTAGCAGGCAGGCGGCCATATCCCAACAGTCTGACAACAAGGAAGGCATTGGCAAGAGAGTGACACTGAAAGTAGCTCCTAGCCTAGGGTAGAAGCCATGCGGCCCCTGCCACTGCTGGGCTCTCAGCTTTGGCTACACACTGAAATCACCGAAGGAGCTTTAAAAAACAAGGATGTCCAAGTGCATCCCCCACCCCGAGATTCTGCTTGTAATCGCTCTGGGATGTGGCTTGAGCACTGAGGTTTTTTTTAGGAGCTCCCCAGGTGGTTCTAACATGCAGCCAAGCTGGAGGACCACTGGCCTAGCCTCACTATCACCCAAGCCCCAGCCGTTCAGACCTACTTGCTGTGCCCTGAATGTGTCCTCCTCACACACCCAGGTCTCTGTGCAGCCAATTCCCTCAGCTTAGAATACCCTTCCCACCCTTCCTCTAGGCTATCTCCTGCTCATCCACATCAAGAGCCAGTGGAGACATTCTTCTCCAGGAAGCACCCTACTGATTTGTTCCCCGTGCGATCTGTACCACAGCACTAACCACACTGTGCTGCAAATGCTGTCTATTTTTCTGCCTCCACCAATAGACTGAGTTATTTGCCAGCAGGAACTGCAATTCATTTATCATAGTCGCCCAAATAGCCACCGCCTAGAAAATAGTAAATGCTTAATGAACGAATGCATGAACCAAGCAGGGAGCAAACAGATAAACCCTGACTCAGGCCGAAGCAGAGGTACTAAGGTCACCAAGAAGCCCGTCCCTAACAAGCGTCAGTTTACTCGCAGTACTCAACAGTGAACCTATCTGTCTAAAAACGACTGTGATGCAAAATAAGGCACAAGCACATGTAAATCAGCCAGCCATATTTTCATACAATGTCCTTCCTTTTAAGCGACCAGCATCAGGAAGGGGACTCCACAAGTCCTTTATTTCATATCAATATGATGAGCTGCCTTCCTTCTGTCCCTCAAACACGCCAAGCTCCTTCTAGTCTCCGCATCTTTGTACTCACACCCCCTCTCCATGGATCCCTTTCCCCAGAGGCTCACACAGTTCATGCCCTCTCCTCACTCGGGCTTGGCTCAGCGGCTGCCAACTCAGGGAAGCTCTCCCTGATCCCCCTCTCTCACACAGTTTCGCCAGCCCCCCAACCAGCACACTCCATCACACCAGCTTGTTTTAATATCTTCACAGTGGTAATAACGACTGTCTGAAAGTAAATGTGTTTACGTGTTTACAGTCAGCCTGTGCTAACTAGGATGTCAGCTCCATAAGACACAGATCCTGCCAGTCTCATTTGCTGCCGTATCCCCTGTGTTTAGAACAGTGCCCAACACACTGGAAACACTTAAGTATTTGTTAATGAATATCATAAATTTACACATCAACACATTTTGCTTTTAGGTTGTTTACCAGCCTTAAATAAGGAACTTATTTCCAACCAACATTTTAAAAGGCTAATATAAATGCTACCCTGACAACTACTGGAAACACCGAGTCCTTTCTCTGTGAAACATAGCCATATCTTGTCATTACTCAAGTTACATTACTATTGTGATAAAGCTACTTTAAAAGACAGTCTAAAACTTCCAAAAATTCTTACAAAGGGAAACAGATTTGAGAGAGATTTCTGACTCCCAAATTTCTGACATAAGCAGCTGAATGAACAGTGGTGCCATCTGCTGAGACAGGAAATACCAGAGGGCCAGGTTTATAGGGAGAGATAATGAGTGCACTTAGGGACATAAGATGGAGGTGCACATACCATCCAAGCAGATATATTAAGAATTAAAAAAAAAAAAAAAAAAAAAGGCTGTTAAGAAAGTAGCTGGATACAGGTCTATAGGTCTAGAGTCCCAAGAGGAGCCTGAGCTGAAAATAAACATATGAAATGAGCCTTTAAAAACTAGATGAGCTTGAAGAGCCTTTCTAACTCAGATTCTTTCATTCTAATTTTATATTCTCCCCCTCCCAACCCCTCCAATCAGGTCAACTTATACACATATTCCTTCTAAATATCAGAATCAAAGATTAACTACTAAAAGTAAGGATTTTTCATCCCTACTTTTAAAAATGTTTGAAAGTATTAGAGTTTTACAGTCTCAGTACTTATTGGAAAATAAGTCTGTTTTTACCTTTTCCCTTGCTGCCCAGTGCAGGCTCGGTTACACACTAACAGAACAATCTTGTCGCTTCCTGCTCTTGTGGGGGGCAAGTCTGCTTTCCCTAGCTTTGCTGCTGAGTGTGTAGGAGAAGACAGTCTACAATGATCCAAGCCAAATTTCAAGTGATTCAGATTGCTGTTTAAGTGGATTCCTGAAATAGAATTAAAAAACAACTTATTTTATCTCTTCAAAATTCCTTCCATTCATTCATTACAAAGATATTTACCCAAAGGGTAAATTAAGAAGTTTTCATTATGTAATTTAAACTGCAACAGAAAAAAAGGAATAAATGATCTACTTAGAGATTATTCACCTAGCCATTAAGATAATTTCCTTAGCATTCATTTTTCCATCTAAACAAGCCTTACCTATCTTAAAAACTGGAAATTAAAACTCTTCACTTCAATGAATATTAGATACAATGTCCGAAAGGCAAGTTTGCTGAGAGAATCTACCAAGACAAATTTAAAGGGAAACCATGCAACTAACAAGCAAATAAATTTTTTTTAATAAAAAATAAAGACTAGTAGATGTGGAATGATTTTCAATATTCTATGAGCAGTTTCTTCTCCCTAATTAAAGAGCCAGACTTATAAGAAACAAAAGATAAACTACAATTACTAGACCCACAGCCATTATAGACCATGTCAACTTTAATATAATCCACTAGACTGGATCAACCTACATTAAAGTGAACAAAAATATGTTTCACAGACACAGTTCTGGTTGCTGAAAACCAGGTCTTTATAAATGCCCAAGGCAGAGCTATCTGTCAATCAGAGGTACTCAGCAATTCAGCACCTAGCGCAACGCCCTGCACTTAGGAGGAACTCAATAAGGAAATGATACTGCAACTGGAGAATAGAAGGAAGCCCTCTACCACCACCACACACACACAGGAAAACAATAACAACACCAGAAGGAGAATAAAATAAAAAGTGGTTTACACAAAAGTATTCATAGCAGAATTCTGGCAATAACCTAAACATCAAGCAAGCAATACGAGACTTGCTGAACCTATTAAGGTACATCAGTACAACAATTTAAAATGACGACTATGTAGTTAATACCAGAATAAATTCCAAATGAATTAGAGTTTAAAGAAAGAACACAGAAACTAGAAATAAGGAAAAACTGAATCTTCATGAAGCTCTTAGAGGGAAGCAAACTTTTGAAGCTTAAACACCACAAATAAATCACAAGAGGAAGAGCAGATTTCACTTTATGACCATTTGAAACTTTGGTATGAGAAAATAAAAATAACAGAAGTCTGAATTCGAGACAACGAATAACCTCATTTCCCAGGTTCCTGGCAGAAGTAAGACTGGGAAGACCGTGCTAAAAGTGATCAGGATCCCTAAGGAGCTGAGGAGATGCCACAGAAATCAAGCTCTGCATTCAAAGTGTAGGCCCTTTACTACCAGCTGGGTGACCCAAGCGGTTACTTAGCATCTCCAAGTCTCAGCTCCTTCATTTGTGAAGTGGGCACCGTAGTAGTTGCATATGTATTGAACAAAAGATTTATAAGGCTCTAGAACAGAGGCTAACACACACTCAATAAGTGGGTATATTCTTCCAACAAAAGCACTATCTGGTGATAACCTTGGACTTCACCAAATTCACTTATAAATAGAAATTTAGTGTTAACCCTTGGCAACTGGGGTGCAAAGGGAGATATTGGGAAATTTTCAGTTGAACACATTGAGCTCTTGTTGTACATCAGGAACTATACTGAACTGCTGGGTACAGAAAGATGAAGCAAAACGTAGTCCCAACTGCAGAGAATTTCACAGTGTGGTAGAAGGACAGAGGAGAAAACATATCATTTCCACACAGCATGTTAGAGTCACAGATTAGCAGAAGCTACGATTACAGCACAGAAGAGCAGGAGTCAGTCAGCCAGCCTAGGGTGGGGTAAGTGAGGCAAGGCTGTCTGGATAAGGGGATGATTGGGTATCTTTGACTGTAATGCAATTAAAATTAGAAAACAATTTAAACAAACAAAAGCACGTGCATGAATACACAACAACTGGAAAACAAAAAAAAGCTCCTAGGTCAAAGAAGAATGAAAAGTGAAAGAACAAGATTGTCTAGAAAATAATGCTAATATGAGCAGACCACAGAAAATTGAATCCTAAGCTGGCAGCGGAAAAAGCTAACCAATCCATTATGCAGAATTACCAAAAGGTTCAGAAACTAGAGGCACCAGAGATCTCTGGAAGTTGGAGGTGAAGGAAAAGAGAAGCTAAAATAAGGACTTTCAACAAGGGCACCGAGACATTCAATGAGGAAAGAACAGTCTCTGCAACAAATGGTGCTGAGACTACTGAATATTTACATGCAGAAGAATGGAGTTGGACCCCTACACCACACCACATACAAAAACTAATTCAAAATGGATCAAAGACCTAAATGTAAGAGCTACAATGATTTAAAAAAAAAAAAAAAAAGAACTTCTGGAAGAAAACATAAGGGTAAATCTTTATGGCCTTGGATTTGGCAACGGATTCTTAGATATGACACCAAAAGCATAAGCAACAAAAGAAAAGGAGATAAATCAGACTTCATCAAAATTAAGAACTTTTGTGCATCAAAAGACACTATCAAGAAAGTGAAAAAGATAACCCAGAGAATGGGAGAAAATATTTGCAAGTCATGTATTTGATAAAGGTCTAGTATCTAGCATATATAAAGAACTCTTACAACTCAACACCAAAAGGCAAACAACCCAATTTTAAAATGGTTGGAAAAAGGACTTGAATAGATATTTCTCTAAAGAGAATATACAAATGGCCAACGACCACATGAAAAGATGATCAATATCATTTATCATTACGGAAATGCAAATAAAAACCACAATGACATATAACTTCACACCCACTAGGATGGCTATAATCAAAAAAATGGAAAATAACAAATGTTGGCCAAGAATGTGCAGAAATTGTAACCCTCATATATTGTTGGTAGGAATGAAAAATGATACAGGTGCTGTGGAAACCAGTTTGGCAATTCCTCAGAAAGTTAAACACAGAATTATCATATGACCCAGCATTTCCATTCCTATGTATATACCCCAAAAGAACTGAAAACAGGTATTCAAACAAATACTTGCCATAGCAGCACTATTTCACAATAGCCAAAAGGTGGAAACAACCCAAATGTCCATCAGTAGATGAATAAACAAAATGCAGTATATACATATAATGGAATAATATTCAGCCATAAAAAGGAATGAAGGACTGATACATGCTACAATGTGGATGAAGCCAGTGACAAAAGGCCACATATGATATGAGTCCATCCACATGAAAGTCTAGACTAGGGACATCCATACAGGCAGAAAGTTGACTAGTGGTTGCTTAGGACCGGGTGGGATGGGAGATTGGGTGGAGGTGTGCATAGGGGAGACAGAGTAGCAGCTAATGAGACAGGAGCTGGAGAAGTGAATTCTCAGCAGAGCAAACAGTAGGGAAAGTGTAAAAGCACATGGCATGTTTGAGAAAGAAAGAGGATCTTGGAAAGGCGACATGGGGTAGGAGGTGGAATATAGCAGAAAGGCTGGAAAGGAAGGCAAGGACCAAGTCCTGAGGCACCAGGATTCTTCCAGGAGTTTAGATTTAATCTTAGACAAAGGGGAACCACCGGTCAATCAATAAGCATGTAACATGATCAGAACTGTATGTCAGAACAGGTCTGGTGCACTGTGGAGAAATAACTTAACAGGAGAAAGCCCAGGGGTAACTAGTAAAGAAGTTACTAGAAAAGCCCAGCTGAGTCTGGTCTGAACCATGTCAGTGGCAGCAGGATGAAGAGGAAAACTGCACAGTGATTGATCAGTTCTGTGTGAATTTTGAGGGAGAAGTGCTGGATCCATCTCGGGTGAAGAGAAGGAGGGAGGTTCCATTATTCCAGAGCAAACGCAGGAGGAACCAGTCTAAGAAAGAACTGCTGAGTGTAAATGCCTGCAGGACTTCCAAGCAGAGACTCCAGTGGACAGCTGGAAGTCAGGGAATGGAACCAGAAGAAAGGTGGGGGCTAGTGGAGGAGTTTAGTTCTAAAAATCACGGCAGTAGCAAATACTGATAAGGCTGGGTAGAGCAGCAGTCCTCAAACTTTAATGTGCATCAGAATCAGCTGTTAAAAACAGACTGCTGGTCCCCACCCCCAGAGTTTCTCATTCAGTAGGTCTGGGGTAGGGTCCAAGAATTTGCATTTTTGACCAGCTCCCAGGTGACAGTGATGTTGAAGTAGAGCAAAAAGAAGAGGAGCCCCAGAACCAAGAACACTAAGGCCAGAAACAAAGTTCAAGTTGCCCGGCAACTCTCAAAATTAGAAACAGCCCCAAAGTCCTCCAAGCACAGTGGAGAGACAGGCTAAGTTCCATATCACAGCCCAAACCGCAGGAAAAGATCAGCACAGTCCACAGTACTCTCTTTTGCTTCCTATCAGTGAAGAGTTACATGCAAAATTCTTAAACGCAAGTATCAAGAAAACACTCTACAGCAATGACTTTAGAATTTAGAAATTAAGCATTAAAGCTGGTAGCAAAAAACAAACAAAAAAAGCTATGGCATAGTATACCTTCCCGAGTGCTGTCATAGGATGCCAAAGAGGCCACTTAAAGGAGGACAGAGTCAGTCTTGAGCTTCAGAAAGGGGCTGCCCCAAGTTCGGACAGGAAAGGTTAGAAATTAAGGAAATATCTTTGCCTAAAACAGTGCCTTCTTCCAGGGAAATGTGTTACCATAAAATTTATACCATCATAAAAAAAAGCATTATACATATTTTACCACAATTAAAAAAAAATTACACCATCATAAAATAGACATCTAAAAAGGCAGATTTTTGTTAACTCTGCAAACCCAGGTGGTATTCTGGAAACAGATGCTCATTTACCTCTTTGACTGAGAATTCCTTCAGGCCTAAATATTTCTGGAGTCTCAAAGGCAAAAATGCAGTCACTTTCATGGACTGTTTCCAGGTCGTCTGTGTCACAAAAGGAACGATGGAACCCATCATAGTACATTTCTGTTAACACAATCTAAAAATGGGAAAAATGTAAATAGTTGGATAACCAGAAAGTCAACACGAATTGATCTCCCAATTCTGGTATGAACTTCTCCAGACCGTCAGGACTTCCAGTGATCTGAGAGAGCTCTGAAACATCTCATAGGGCCCACGTTACTTGCCTTTAATAAGACAATCCTGGAAGCACAATATTCTCTGAAATTGTATAACAATATACTCTGGTTTCAGAATACTACGGCAGTAAATCCAAAGTTCCTCTAAGCTTGCTGGAGAAGAGACCCAGGAGACTATAAAATCTAACCCCTTGTTTCACAGGGGGAAGAAACTAAAGAGGTGGAGTGACTTGCCTAAGTGTATACCAACTCTTCAGTCTCACGGCAAGGACAGAGTCAAGATCTGACTCCAAGACCTTCTCCTACGTCATTACATTTTCTTCTTTTCAGGTAAAAAAATGTCAAATAACCATAGGTATTTGTATCATAAAAAAAATGAAATCAACTCCAATGTCCAACAATAGGATCTAGTTAAATATATTATAGCCCTACTGGAATCATAAAGCTATTACAAAGAATGAGCTACATATATTTGCACTAACATGGAAAGATCTCCTAAGTAAATAAGAAGCAAGGTAAAGAACAATGTGTGTAAATGATTCCATTTTTATAAAATAATAAATGTAATATATGCACAGGAAAAAATAGGAATGAATATACAACACAGTATTAAAGCTAGTAACCACTAGTTCTAAGATACTTAGTACGAGATTCTTTCACTTTCTAAGTTATGTTTCTGAAACGGTGGAGTATTTTACAATGAAACAGAAAAACAAAAGATGGGGAAAAACAATGGGGACATTTAGAGCCTTCCTTACGCGCTCAGCAGCATTGTTAGTGAAAAAGCACTGGATTGGGCATGAGGAGGTTCCAGTCCCGGCCTGCCACCAACCAGCCCTGTGACCTTGAACAAGTCACAGGGTTTCTCTGGGCCTCTTTCAAATGAGGGGGTTGGACTGGACCCCTGAAGTCCCCTCTACTAACACAAACACACTATGACTGTGAAAGGAGCTGTGGCATAGTCCACAAATAGTCCAAGACAAATATTCCCAGCACCTTTTCCGTCCAATGATTTTAATGACCACGTTGTTCTGCAGGTGAACACGCAAGTATAACTTACTTTCCCCAGCAAGTTAAGATCAAAAACAAACTTGTACTTATAACACTTATTCAAATCACACGCAAAAAGAGCCAGAGCACTAGAAGCTTTAAAGATACAACCAGATTTGCCTTAGACATACATCTAAGCCTCTCTCTCTTTCTCTTGTTCCCCTCATCCTAAAGGAAAGAAGAAGCATCAACGAGCTCTTCAGAGTCAGGAAGAATATGAACATTTTATCAATGTGCCAGTACTTGGCCTATGAAAATACAAGACACTTGCTATATGAGGGCAACAGTGCTGGTTGTATTTGTTTTACTGTGGTAACCTCACAGACGAGGCCACAGGAGGCCAAAGAACAAAACACCTTTATTATCCAAGTGATTAAACAGCAGCTTCCAGAAGCTATCTGGAGAAAAACTATTCAGCTACTGGAATCATCTCTCCTTAGTAAATCCTAAATAGGAATGTTTTTCCAAATAAAATCATAATAGTGAATTGAGTAAAAAACGTATGCAAAAATATGTCAAGTCACAAACAGGCTAAAAGTATTCTGAGTCAATTTAAACATAACTACTTATCAAAAATTTACTCAAAGGGTGGGTGGGGGCACACCACCTTCCTTTCTCTTATCTAAACCAGGTAAGAGACTGATCCATCTTTCATCAGAAAACAAACAGAACTGAACATCTATCGTGTACTGTAGCAGCAAGAAGAGGCCCATTCTTATCACCATAACGGTAAGGGCTTTCAAGAGCCACTAGTCGAGTGTTCTAAGCCTCTCTGACCCTCAGATACCACAGGGATGCTCTTCCCTCTATCCCAGGGATAAGCATCCATAAAAATGATTTAAGAGGGGTTAAGTAATTATACTTCACAAACAAAGCTAAAAGAAGGTCTTGCTGTAAAGTCACAGTTACCTTTAAAAATACATAAACAACGAAACATGAAAAGTTTTTGCGTACATTTTTCTCCTTTGAGTCTTGATTTTTTTTTCCCTCAACACAAAAACAACTGGTTTTACATTTTTATCTAACCATATTTGGCAGAGAACTGTTAAAAAATTCCAGGAGAACAGAAAGCAACACTTTTGTGGCTCACGTGCACTTGGACTTAGCAGGCTTCTTACCTGATCAGTGGGGATCTTTGTTTCCATAGACACTGCTTCCCGAAGTCTGGCGACAGTCCCAGACAGAGGCACGGCCACACCAATCCTCATGCAGTGAGAACATTTCCCTTGATACACTACAGTGACATAGAGAGGCCTGTACAGATCAAAGTCAGATCTTCTCATTAGTCGCTTATTTCAACTAAAATACAGAAGCAAAACAAACCTGATGTGAAATCAATACAGAACCGAAGCTAACCTACATCTTTATTTGGAAGTCAAATGGAAAAACTTCATTTGGACTAAAGTAGAACTATCAAACAATAATCAACGGATCTTTGGAAAAGGCAATCTTCATAAAACAAAAATATATCAATACTTGGTTCTGTGCTTTATATTTTCTTTAAAACAGCATAACTCCTAGAAATTTTGAGAAACAGTTCAAATAAAGCAATTAATTAAAAGTGCAATGTAAGGTCTCTAGAGAATCCAGAAGGCACTCAACAACCTTTCCCCTTCTCCCCCATCCTGTCAATGGATGACCGACTGAACAGACTTGCTTGCCCCATGCACCTGCTCACCCTGCAAACTCAGACCAGCATTCACAAGTTTCTGTAAGGTTTTAAAAATGCCTGTATTCAATTTATCACTAATCCCATTACTTGTCTCAATAAGTAAGAAGACCTAATAGGAGCCTACAGAGGAAAAGAAACACATAGGAATAAAAAGTCTTAATTTTATTAAATCTGTTCTTACCTTGTGTGGGGTAGAGGAATTGGCAAAGAAATGCAGAGGAAAGGGTCAAAAGTGTTGCTCTGCTTCTGACAATGAGGACATGTCAAAGAAGATCTTCAAAAACAAAAATGTAAGACACTCACAGTAAGATCACCTAGAACTACGTAAGGAGACAACATAAGGGAAAATTTAATCTACTCATACCTGTATTGGGCTTGAAAAAGTTCTTGTACAAAAGTGCTACAGACAGGGAAGGATGGTCCCTCAGGCATCATATCAGTCTCTGATGGTGGCTTAAAAAAAGAAAGTACAATTTCATGGATTAGAAGTACCAATTTTTGAAGATGACCCTGAAAAAGTCACAAATGTTCTTGACTTCCTTTATAAGCTATGTGTCAGGTCCAGATGTCTCAGTGAAAGGCATCTGCTAAAGGAACCAGAACCCACCTGCCAGGATGTGGGTCCCATGGACTCATGTCCTCACAGGCACTCCCACAGACCGTGTTATCCCTGTCTCTCCACCCCATCCAGGCAGTCAGGCAGTTCTCCTTCCCCAGGATGCTCCAATCTCCCTCCAACTCTCCACGTCTTCCTCCAACCTCTTCTAGGAAATAATCCTAACCACTTCAAAAGGACCAATTCCCCCCATGTCCAAATTCTCTAGCACTTATTAGCTCTTCATTTTGGTGCCTAATCACTCTACTTCATATTTTACTTAACTTTTTCATGTCCCTCCACCTAACAATTAGTTACTGACCATCTGCTACCATGTACAGACAGCACTGTAAAGGGCATTAGGATACAAAGATAAATAAGACACAGTGCCTGACCTTTAGTAAGTCTCAAGTTGATGGGAGAGTCAGCCAAAAGCATATAGTCATATGACAGTAAAGAGTGTTCAGGCACAAAAGGAGCTTGAATCAGAATAATTTAACAATTTACCAAAACCAGAAATTTAAAATTTGAGGTAAAGAGCAGAACTATCAAAAACTTTAAAAGTTGTGAAAGGAAGGCAATTCTTTATTTCCATTACGTAAATCACTTTACCCACATTAAGGCTACATGCACAAAAACTGAGAATGAATCACTGTTTCTCAGTAAGAACATTCTAGGGGTTCAGTTCCTACACTCAAATCCAATCGTAACAGCAGAGATATCCATGTGTTTCCTTTTGATTGTATATTCATTCCAGTGATCTACAGGCTATGTGTCTCACTGGAAGAGAAAGCAAACTTGTGTTTTAAGAACAGTTTAGTGAAACGGAATTACTTAAATTTTATCTAAAGCTAGTCATACGTGCAAATGTGTCCCCTCTCACTAGACTAGAAGCTCCCTGGAGACAGCGTCTCTGGTATATTACACCGCCAAGAAATAGTAGTAAACATGGGGAAAATCCTCTAAGTATCCATGAATTTTATACTCACCCAGAGCTTAGTCAAGTTCACCATACTAACTGAACGCAAACTGCAACAACTCCTCAGTGGAGCTCTGGGAGAACCTACACTCCCCTTACTCCACTCACCAAACGGCCACTGAGCACCCTGTCACTGATCCTGACTGCCCCAGTGGGGTGGTAGCCTCACCTTCAGAGGAGGCTTCCCACTCTGCTTCACAGCATGATTGAGGTCTTCGTGAACTCGGTCCAAAAGCCACAGCAGAAACTCCTGGGCATCATGCTGGGAATTTCCCCGATATTGCAGTGCATTCTTCGACACAATACTCTATACAGGTAAATAAAACAGCATGAATAGTTGTGAGTTCCTAGCTTTAAAGATAAAAACTATTCATAATCCCAAAGAGGGATGTAAGATCTCAAGCGTGTTAGAGAGTACTTCCCAGAAAGAAAGCAATGTAAAAAGCCCACCCCCAGAAACATGTACCAAAAACCTTTAAATGTACCTACCCAACAATCCTACTTTTAGGAATATATCTAAAGAAAACCATCAAAACAGCATGTTAAGACTTCTAAGAAGATATTCACTCATCAGGCTTTATAACAGCAAAAAATTGGTAATAACTTAAACATTTTAAAAATGAGAATTGGTTAAATAAGTAACATAGTATTATATTATAAACTAAAGTATAAAATAAACAAGTCTACACTAACATAAATGATTGAATGAATAAATAAGTGGGAGAAAGAGACAAATCTTCCTTACAGAAGAATGCTAAATAATTTATGACAATAATCCCCCCTCCCGGAGGTAGACCTTAACCCCCCGCCTTGAGTATGGGCTGCGATAGTGACTTGCTTCCAAAGACCACAGTATGGAAAGAGGGGTAGCCAGTGGAAGGTTGTTAAGTGAACTGCTTAATTAAGATCATGGGCTCAGAGCACATAGCCTGGGTTCAAATCTCTGGCCCACCACTTACTATTTGGGAGACTTGGGCCTACTCTCCTCCAAAGTAAAAAGGATAATAACGATTTAGTGTGATGGTTAAGTGAGAATGCATGCAAAATATTTCACATGTAAAGGAGATATAATAAGCACTCAAATTTTAGCTATGAGTATTAAATCTGGTAGTAGGGAGAAAAAAGGAGAGACAACTGCACAACGGAAGAGCAGTTAGGAGACAAAATGGTGAGGCAAGAAACAACGAAGGTCTAAGCTAAGGCAGTGAGGACAGCAAGATGAAGACATATTTGACAGAGATTTAGGAATTGAGGCAGTAGAATCAATAGGATTTGTGACCTAACGAATGTGAAGAATGAAAAAGGCGGCATTAATGTCACCCAGGTGTCTTATCTGGATGATGCGTCACTGGTAGTACCCTTCATCGAGACAAAATACGGGGTCGGCCCGGTGGCACAAGCAGTTAAGTGCGCACGCTCTGCTGCAGCGGCCCGGGGTTCACCGGTTCGGATCCCAGGCACGCACCGACGCACCGCTTGGCAAGCCATGCTGTGGTGGCATCCCATATAAAGTGGAGGAAGATGGGCATGGATGTTAGCCCAGGGCCAGGCTTCCTCAGCAAAAAAGAGGAGGACTGGCATTGGATGTTAGCTCAGGGCTGGTCTTCCTCACAAAAAAAAAAAAAAAAAAAAAAAGACAAAATAAAAAAGGAAGATGTCTGGGAAAGAGGGTGACGAGTTTCTGTTTGAATCCACCGTATTTAAAGTTCTGTGGAACCTCCAAGTGAAGTATCTGGTAAACAACTGAAAAATACACATCTGGGACACAGTGGAACAGTGTGGCTAAGGACAAAGATCTGGGAATCAGCAGATGGTGACAGTTGAAATCAAGAGTATGGCTGAGATTGCCCAGACATAATCATGAGAGGTCATGCCAGAGGACAGAATCCAGAGGATACTATATTTAGGGGGCCCCTCAAAGGAGACCAAGAAAAAGCCATGAAAGATGTGGCAAGAAAATGAGGAGAATACAGTCTCAAGAGTCAAGAGAAGAAAGTTGTGGAGGAGAGAGTGATCAATAGTGTTAAAATTGAAAAAATGATAAAGTAGGCCAAAGAACTAAAAACTGTCCGTTGTATTTTCCAATTAAGATAATGATAATAGAGATGAAAAGAATGGATACATTTGCAATTCAGTTATGAAGAAGAACCATCATAACTTGATGGTCAATTAGATGTGAATGATAACAAAGTTGATTTACAAAGATTCAAATTTAGGGAGGAAAAATCAAAGGGACACAAATGAGAGAGAACATGGAAGTGTCACTGGTAAAACTTACTAAGTGAATAAAGTGAGCAAGGGAGAGGAAGGACCCTCACAACAATCAAGGTTTCAAGTGACTGGAAGGATACCACTTGGAAGCCATCTCCAAAACAGGTACACAAGAGGAGGAACAGATGTGGGGGAAAGTCTTCACTACACTACAAAACTTCTCCCAGAAGTCAGATGCCACTTGAACCACCAAATCCAATTCCTTTCTTAGTCTTCACCTTCCTCAATCTCCCTGTAGCATTTTATATACTTGACATCTTTCTTCATCTTGAAATGGTTGGGCTTGTCGCCTTATGTTCTCAGTTAGGAGAATCAAAACCAGAGCCATTGGTATGGACAGTGGAAGAACGTGAGCTACAGAAGAAAGGAGATTTCCTAAAGAAAAATGGATCAATAAAAAACTCAGCCCTAGCAGCACTGTCAGTTATGTATCTGCCTCTGGATGGAAGAGAAACAGGTAACTGGTGACAAGTGAGGTTAAGTCTGGTGCTCAGGAAAGACATCTGAACTGGAAGGTTAAATTAGAGCGGCCATACGCTGATGGGAAAAAAAAGTTCTCAGCTTATGCATCCTAAGAAACAAATTAGCTGAAATCAAACCCTTCATTATGTGTCAAAGTAGATATCTAATACACATTGTCCATCAAATTTCAAGGAGGAGACGATATTCAATTCTTTATCAAGACTGCATTAAATGTTTATGCTTCCTGCCACTACCACTTCAACTCATCCAGCACGTATCCACCAATCGCTACGCACAAGGCACCGTGCTGAGGCTGCTCAACAGGACTTTTGTTGGGCACACCCAAACAGGCCACAGGACTTCCACAACCCTCTGTAACTGGGGCAAAACCTGCTCTGGGTCAACTCCATCCTAAATCACTACATCAGAAACTAAAGGAAATTTTACAGAAAACCTCACTGAACATACTCAAAGGCTCCTCTTTCTGCCTCTTTTCCCCCTTCACAATGGTGACTTCTCACTGCAGAAACCCAAAGCACTGTTTACTTAACTTCTTCCCCAGACAAAACAGAACATGGAGTAATCTAATAACCATCCTTAGTATGTGTTACAGAAGAAAGAAAAATAGTGGGAGTCAAGAAACCTGGGTTCAAGCCCTGGCTCTGCCACAAACCACTGGTTAACTCAGGCAGCGCACTGAACCTGTGATTCCGGGTTTATAAAACAAAGCAATTGAGCTGGGCCATCGATGGGACGCTCTGCCTGGCTTCCCAAATCTTCAGCCAAGCTCTCCTCCTAGAGTCCCAGCAAGTGATCTGGCTTTTGTTTTGGGCCACATCTGCACTGCTTTGGTTTGTCTTAATGATTTTTTTTATAATTAAACCTCAGTTTATTTGAAGTCCTAAAATTAATCCTCCTGCATTTTTGTAGTTTTAAAGCTGTTTATCATTGGAATAGGTCATCTGTAAATAGAAGCATTACTACAATCTGAGAAATTATTTAAATTTGTCACTTCTATGAAAAATAGAATATAAACCTTCTTAAAGTTAACCTTACATATCTGTGTCTATTTTATAGAATTTGGGCATGGTGTTTGGAAAAATATTAAACTAAGTCTATTGGTTTAAATCCTATACATCCTATTATAAATAAATTTGACCATCACTCCAATTTTCCCCGCAGCTGGGATGATCCTTAAGATGTAGTTACTAAACAATAAAGTAAAAGTCAAAACATATTTGTAGGGCTTTCAAGTTTCATAAAATTTCTCTTTACCCTTCAAATAAAACATTAAGGACTACAGTACAAAAAGAACTTTTCCCCTTAAAGAAAGGAAAAAAAAAAAGGGTTGGAAACACGGCCCAGAAAAGAAAAAGAATGAAATCTATACAACCAGAGCTGTAAAATCAGACACGAGGGTCTTTCTTTCCATACAGCGCTAGTAAAGAAGCAGCAGAACCCTGGGCTCCAGGGAAAGGACAGTAACTGGTTCAAGCCACCCTTTACCTGAACCCAGGAAGAAGACAGAGCAATGACTTCCTCCCACGGGCAACGGTCATGGCCATATCGGTCTAACATGACGATCAAGAGCTGGGTTACTCTTTTGGGAAAAAGGTAGCTTTCTGAGACTCATCAAACCCAATCATCACCCACTCTCCTTGATTCTACGCCAGAAGACACGGAGAATTTATTTTCAGTGATTCTGGGTAAGAAACAGAAGAACTGTGGAGAACAATAGCGTTGACATTTTAAGAGAAAGATGAAATGTGAGCAGCAGGGTTCATACACGGTAGCTAAAAGTGAAATCTGGTTTCTGGACTGTGCTGGAAAGAACAGAATGATAAGCACCTGCCTTGAGAAAAGTTTCATCTTTTGAATCTGACTTTCTGGACACCTACTAAGTTGATGAAGAATAATTAACTAAAATATAGGGGATGCAACTGGTGCAAACAGATGAATACTGTAAAAACACGTATGACCATGAAAAACAGTGACAGAGAAAGTGTCCATACAATAGTACTCCACACCAGGGTACAGAAAGTAGCCATGCCCCCAGTAGGGCTCTCTGTGCCCTTCATCCTTTCTTTCCCCCTCATATTCACCTCTGGTGGGGAGGTCTTCTCACATAACACTACAAATTAGGCTGAGAGGCCCTCAGTATTAGCCAGCTGTGGCAACAACCAGCCCTTGAAAGAGACTCTAAGGCCTCTAGACTTTCTCACACACTTTCCCTATGCCTGGAAAGCCCTCCACTCTCATCCGCTAAATGCACCCCCTCACTCTCCTTCCTCAGCAGGATGGAGCAGGGACCCTGGTGGGAGAAGAGAGAAAGAAAAGGAAGGAGGCAAAAGGAAAGGTGCTTCCATCTAGCATGGAAAGACAACTCAATGAGCACAGTGGAGAATGCCATGCACAACCTGTTCATGTGTTCATGTTTGGCCACACGGAAAACTCAGTTATTTCTGGTACAGAGCTCCTTGATCCTTACAGACAGAAGGGCCTAATATAGGGTAGCTCAAGTACAGGCGTCCCTTGTAGCCAAGGGACATGATCCAAACTCAGGAACTAAATGGA